CATGAGCTATTTCTAGGAAGCAATATAATACAACAGCTGTCCGAAATACAAATAAGATAGAAAATAAATACAGTAATCTGAAAGAGACTTGTTGGCTGCGGGTCATCTCGGGAAATGCAGCTCACCTAAGTCTACGCATCAACCATGCTGTTACGCTCACTAAGCCACTAGAGATGCATGTGACTGTGCAACAAAAATGCATAGAAGTGTAGTATGAGTACGAAAACAACGTGTACCAGTGAGTATCCCATCTAATCTCGAAGAAGTAGAGATGAGAGGTCGACTTCGACACTTACTAGTGGTCCAATAATGATATATTATAAATGCGAATAATTATAGATTTATTAAGAATGACAGTAATTTCAAATAAGTCACGAACAGGTAAAAGTTCCTTTTTATATTAAAGGTTTCCGGATTCATAATCCATTAGTTTTTAATTATCTCAAGTCGGGGAGAGCAAATATCAATATTAAATCTCAAGGCAAGCAATACAAACATGCTCAAATTATGCCGAGGTCGTACGACCTGATCCAATAATATTTAAACTGTGCACTGCCGAGGGTCGAACGGCACAAACTATAGATGCATCTATTACCCCGCTCGCGAATCATACATGCGACGCGGTCAAATATAAATAAACACAACAATCAGTCAATCAAGAATTCATCAAGGAACAGTTATTCAAGGAAAAGCCAATTCTCTTTTAACATTTCAAGAAAATGAAGTTTAATCTTTTTAGAAATTCATTTACTAATTCCATGTGATTTAAGCAAATCAAACTGTCAATAAGATTACAGATATTCCAAATATAGCATGCTTTTGGGTCCTAAACTACCCGAACTTAAACATAATAGTAGCTATGCACGGACTCTCATTACCTCGTGCGTACCCCCACAAATAGGAGCACATAACCAATTAACTCACCTATGGGGACAATTCCCTCTTACAAGGTTAGAAAGGAGACTCACCTCGATCCGAAGATCCATAACCGGCATTTCACGCCCTTCCGAAGACTCAAATTGATGCACAACGCTCCAACACTAGCTAATAATTATGCAAATCCATTAATATATGCTCAACTACTCATTACAATCCAATTTATAACAATTCCTAATTCCGATCGAAAAGTTGACAAAATTGCTCTTAGACCCACGTGCCCGGATTCCGAAATTTTTCGAAGATAAGGTTTACCCATGAGCTCGCGAACTCAAATATATGATTTTCTCTTAATTCCATACCCAAAATCGTAGTCAAAATCCAAGATTATCAATTTTCTAGGTTTTCCTCAAACCTCCAAATTTCTACCCATTTACATGCGAAAATCCACACAAAATCGATATATTTAACTCAATATAGGTGGGGTTAGCTTACCTTATCGTTGATGAAGAAAATCCCCTCTTGAAGCTCTCCAAAATCGCCCATACCAAATGAAAAATGGAAGAAAAATGATCATCTCCCAATTTTTTAAAAGAACTCACTACCTCAGCGATTTCCGCATCTCCGAGAAGATGACCGCATTTGCGAAATGGGGAGAGAAGGTTGGGACTGCTTCTGCGGTCTGGAGGCCGCATTTGCGGATGGGAGCAGCTTCTGCGGTTCCTGGCCTGGCTTGCTTGGGCCGCTTCTGCGATGCAAGGACCGCTTCTGCGGTCTCTCACCTGCGGTCCACCAACCGCAGGTGCGGTTATGACAGAAGTAGCAACCTTCAGCTCTTCTCAAAATTCCCATTTTCGATCCGTTAACCACCCGGAATCCACTCGAGGCCCTTGGGACCCGAACCAATCATACCTACCAGTCCCAAAACACATTATGGACTTGCTCTAGGCCTCAAATCATATCAAACAACACTAAAATCATGAATTGACCTCCAACCCAAGCTTTATGAACTTTAGAATTTCAAACTTCTACTTTCGATGTTTAAACCTATCAAACCACGTCCGATTGACTTTAAATTTTGCACACAAGTCATATTCGACATTATGGACCTACTCCAACTTTCGAAATTGGATTCCGGCCTCGATATCAAAAAGTCCACTTCCGGTCAAACTTCTCAAAAATCTTCAAATTTCTATCTTTAGCCAAATGACTACAAAATGACCCGCGGACCTCTGAATTCACTTCCAATCGCGCTCCCAATTCCAGAATCACCATACGGAGCTACCCCCAGGCTCGGAATCCCAAACGTACATCGATTACACCGAAATGCCCTTCAACCCAAACTTATGAAATTTCTTCCAAAATGCTAACTTCCACAATAGGCGCCAAATCGTTCCCGGGTCATCCAAAAATAGATCCGGACATACGCCCAAGTTCGAAATCATCATACGAACTTGTTGGAACCTTCAAATCCCGATTCCGAGGTCGTTTACTCAAAAATCCAATCTTAGTTAATTCTTTCAACTTAAAGCTTCCGAAATGAAAATTCTCTTTCCAAATCAACTCTGAACTTTTCGGAATTCAATTCCGACCGTGCGCAGAAGTCATAATACCAGAAGTGAAGCTGCTCATGGCCTCAAACCGCTGAACAACTCACTAGAGCTCAAAACGACAGGTTGGGTCGTTACAAATATGATTGTAGTGGCGAGTACCTCTCTAAAGAGTTCTTTTGTTACTTAACAGAATAAAGGATTACATCTCAATTGACTACACCGTAAACTCCATAATAGAGTGGTGTAGTAGAAAGAAGAATTAAGTCTCTTTTGGACATGGAAAGATTAATGACGTATTATTCAGATTTGCCTTATTTGTTGTTGGAATATTTCTTGGAAACTGCAAATTACATTCTGAATTTAGTTCCTTCTAAGTTAGTACCTGGGACATTTATAAAACAGTGGACTGAATGTAAGCTCAGTCTGTGGCATGTTCAGATATAGGATTGTCCCGCATATGTGCTGAAAGGGAAAGCGGATATGTAAGTTGGAAATAAGAATGGATAGGTGCATGTATCCAAGAGAACGAATGGAGTTTTATTTTATTGTCCAAAAGAAAATAAGGCAATTGTTAAAACAAATGCATTTTTCTAGATAAAGATTGTTTAATAAAATATGTTCCTAGAAGTAAACTATTTTTATAGAAAGTGGACAAAGAAATAACTAGATGCTCAAGAACATCAAAACCCATACGTTGGAATTGACGTTCAGTGGGGGAATGTTAATAAACATGATATTCCTTTATTGAGTGGGAGTGATGTTTGAACAGTGAACACTATAGTAGAAATCACTAATATTTCAATGTCGTAAGGCAATAAAGGTAATATTAGTAGTACTTCGTCGTATTGGGAGAATGCTAAAGAAAATCATAGCTCGGTGCACACTCTTGGGATAGTTTCGATAACAGGATCCCTGAAGAGTTTAATACCAAACTAGATAGTTACGACAAAGTACTACTGGACAAATATTGCATCAGATATAACTTGACAAGATTCTTTAATAAAACCTTATTTGGTGAAGATTTTTAATAGTCATGTAAAAGAATGTCTGAGAAAGTTGTAGATGCATGGTGAGTTTAAGTGGGAGATTATTGGGGCATATAATAACCATGCACTTGGATATAGTATATTCTAATAATTATCATGGTTAAAATCTAAGTGGGAGAATGTTGGGATATATACTATTAACCATGAGTTTGGTTTAAATATAGTATTTATTGTGAAATAATTGTTTATTCAGTTTTAATAAAAATTTAAATAGATCATATATTAGTCTGTGTCCTTTGCTTATATAATAGATGATTTAGTGTATAGAGTTTAGCTTATACATGGAAGATTAAACCATCGGTTCTTATAAGTATAAAGTTTGAGTTCACAATCTAATGATGGAATTGGACAAACCATCAGGAATGATTGTAGCACAAGATTAAATATAATTTATCTTGATTATGGGAATGGTTTAATTCTAACTTCTTGTGCTAGTATATTTTGTATGTAATGAACGGACCAAGTAGAGATATGTATTTTATACTAACTTAATAAAATAAACTCTTTAGCCATTAAATGTACTTATACTCTTAATCTTGATATAATTATTATTAGCTGTGTACATTATTATTATTTTGATTTATTAAAAGGCGAGATTCTTTCGTGGGTCAATATGCCTGGTAAAT